CGAGATTATAGTATATATGGCTCATATTGGTCCTATATGCCCCAGGTATATCGCGGAACGTTACCCCTGGTGCGCCATTTGATCTGGTATAGCGGTTTCGGTTGGCGTGTTAGGGATAGGCGTAGGCCGACTCCGCTGACTCGTTAGTGAGTAGGCGAGGGTAGCGTCCGGCGCAATATTAGATTAGTACGCAGAGGTAACGTTCGACGTGTACATCCACCGCTAAGCGCAGGTACGATTCCCGAACAGTATCCGCCGGGGGGGGCGGGGGGGGGGACACAGACCCTCTGAGCAGTAATATGCGAGTAGAGATGACAAAAGCTATTGGTTATTATAACAGCATGTACGAATGGGTTGGACTTTTCGTGTCAAAGACTTGTAAAACAATGTTTTCGTGTTATTTCTCTGGTGGCAAAATATGCTATAGCATTCGTGCACGTATCCCAATCTGTTAAGCTCCCCACGTACAAGCTATCCATTGTGAGATCGATACGCCGAATAAAAGAAATTGCCAATATAGCTATAGATAGTAGACAATGGCCAGCGAGTGGGGTCTGTGTCCACTGGATATTGTTTTTTATAGTGAATGCTTGGCGTGCAACATGCACACATTGAATATTAAAATTTTTGTATTGAATGCAGAAAATGCATAGCTTTGGAATGCGTAGCAATTGCCATTCTCAGATCGCGTAGCATCTGAACCGAATACTCTGAACTGCAGATGTGAGTAGTAGCGCTCTGGAACTGGCCGTGCGTGTTATGCTCTGTTTAGTTTCGATTTTCGCGTTTCGCGTTTTCACAATACCAGCAGCTGATGAGATTCATGAGGTAGCGCAAGAAAATTCATAGTCATCAGGCTGTGCTGACATTGTTGTGAAGATTGCTGCAATTGAGGCGGTTTTCCACGGATTTTTCGGCGAGTTTGACGGTTTGACAGGTTTTTTTCAAGTTACGAACACGCCGGCTGGTATAAGAGATGGCCTAGTGAAAATTGCATCAGCAGATCGCTTGGGCGGTTTGAGTCGCGCCTATAGGGAGATACATACATAATACATACATACATACATACATACATAGCATACATACATACATACATAGCATACATACATACATACGAAACTTCAAATATATATTAGATGGAAGTCCAAGAAGGATATCCATACAGAAGAAGACTCAGACTCAGACTTGTTTAACTACTGCTTTTTGTTGTAAATATGCACTATTTTTCTGTCCAATTAAAATAACCTGCCAATTGTGCTGATTTAAACCCGCAGCTGCTCCAGATAATTCTTTGGCGTTGATGCAGTAATTTACTCACCATTTTTTTTATAGTATTGACGTATGCCCCCGCAAAAACGGCAAAAAAAAGATGCCTTATGAGTACTCCTTGTTGTGCCAGTACTCATATATTTTGCTTAGTATGCAGTATCTGACCAGAAATTAACATATCTTGCCTTTACAACCTCATTGTCACACAAGCTTTAGATCACAACACGTTCGCGACTTTTCCTTATTTTTTTTGAATTAACTCCGGGAGCGCCGGGAGTATAGACTGCGTTCCAGTCGCAAACACAATTCTAACTTCAAGAGCTTTGTAAAATAAACGTACACACAGGAACCAGTCACGATAGATAGTAGATTAGACTGGCTTCACGTACTGACACACAGGCAGCCATAGCGAACTTAATGAGTGGGGCACCGACGACCAAGCTACCAGTTAATTAGCCGAAGAGAGTCGAGCCGATACAGGCGGAGTAGATGGAAGGTTAGCGTACTGACACGAATCTGTTTGTTTTCTCATGTACGTATTTATTAAAACACAAGCGTATGCTATACGCATACCTTTGAAAATTACATGGCGTATTTGTATGAAATTCATGCGTATTTACGCAAATACGCAAGCTATCTGGTGCACTGAACCCCTTAGAATGCAGCACAGAGCACCTAAAAATCAAACATTTTCCTGGGGGGCCATGCCCCAGCACCCCTAGCACGCCCGCGTCTCGAGCCTCCGTCGCTCGCCGGACGCCTACGGCCGCCCATAGAAGTCTATATATTATGTTATCATTTAGGGCTGAAATAATTTCCTGGCTATATCCCTGGTACACTAGGCTATTAAACCTTTGTACACTCAGTTGCACACATTTGTTCAGTTAACCTTCACTGGATGTTCAATCCGCCAGTCAACAATGGCTCTGAGCAGCTTCGCAGGTTTCAGAAGAAAGTCACGAAATCCAGAAGAATGTATGGATACGGTAGGAGCCCTTGACATCTTTCTTCACCGCGGGACTGCTTCTTTTGTGACCTCCTGCGGCTGTTCCTGCTCCTCTTCCATCATAGTCCAAAAGTTCATTTTCAATCTCCTCCGTTGCCATGGCTGTTTATTATATTCTGTAATTGCCAATTGGGGACAATGAACTCACATTTCGACCAACAATATAGCGCACTTTTGACAGCAACTATTGAACATCCGCAGCGGCGACTGATTTGCAATCGGTAAATGAAAATGGCAGCAAACAACAACTCCAAACAGATCACGCCATACACAAATCACAATTACGAAACTGGAAGTTTTCAATTAAATTTCATCATTTTTGCGTCAAGTTCCGGAATAAACCCAGCACTTACTAATATACAGCGATATTTAGCAACCTGATATTAAATGGTTTCGTCTGGGATTAGAGCAGAATATTGCGTATCTGAATCACAAACGAAAGAATGCGCTTATGCGTCTATTGTTGTTCACAACACAAGCGAAGAGCCGGTACATAGGTTGACAGGCTACACCGCTCACACATGTACATCACTACAAAAATGTCATATAAATGTTGTTTAGTTTACATAAATGATTTTGAAAATGATGTAATCTAAACATAATGTTAATTATTAGACAAAGATTACTTAGATTTACCTTCAAGAGAATTACGAACAAAGAGAAAGCAATGGACGTCGTGCAACAAAAACCAGTAGATGTCGCGGTAGCGTAAACATCAGGCGGCATGCATGTGAACAAAGATGTCTGCACCCATCAGTGAAAATAGTCTTTCGTCATTGTACTTTGAAATTAAAAAGCACATACACATTACACACAAGTAGTTAAAAGATCCGTATTCTGAATCTGTCCGCTTAAATAATCGTGTATAAATAATAAAATATATATAATTATTATTAGTAAATAATTAGTGTAGCCCTATCGTTCCCGCTAGGCGTTAGTCGTCACAGGCACTTGAAGCGTATCAACTGTAAACATACGGCGCCGCCATTGCGCGTACACTAACACATAAATATAGCCATAATATAGCCATATATTTATGTGTTTCGCGCAATGGCGGCGCGCGTGTGTTTACAGTTGATACGCTTCAAGTGCCTGTGTTAGTCGTTACACTACCTAGTACGGCAGTAGCCACACTGAACTCCACTTTACTGCTAGTACTGCTAGTAACTAGCTAGTACAGTACCCTGGGGACAGCTGAACCCCTGGCTTACTCTTAGCAATAATAGGTGAAAGATAAGTATTAGAAACATTAAGACTGGTACTGGTAGTAAATAGATTTCGTATTTATTTAGCATTATATTTTATTGAAATATGCTCCAAGTGCCTGTGAGTGTAGATGTGTTACCATAGTGTGTTACGTACATGATACAGTGTGTACAGTAGCGCCTAGGGGGAGTGAAAGGCCTACGGGCTAGGGCCGGGGGCAGTGGCTACACTCACACTTAGTCATTTGACATGCGGCTAAACAGAGGAATTGCTCCGACCTGTGATTGGAAGATAAAAACAGAATTCGTGACGTTTCTCAAGACTACCAATATACTATTAATTATTAGATATCTCACTGACTGTACTTACATGATAGTTTATTTTTAAAAGCTTACAACGTTTACACTCTTTATAGAGGATTCTCTGAATATTTGCTAACTTTTGCGAAGAGTTTCTTGTTCAAGTAGCGTTCGTGTTGTATTCAGAGCAATTCCTCCATTTACGGTTTAGCTGCTGACTGGCACTGTCACTGTCGGTCATCACTAAACAGAGGAATTGCTCCAACCTCTGATTAGCTCAAGAACATCAGCTCAACAGCTGACGTGATGTTTTGCCACAGGAAGCCTGGCATACCGATACGGGAAGAGGAAGGGGAGGACTTTAATAAGTTATTCTCTCTTATTCATATTGTTTGTGCACAGGGCGGGCGTGCGGTGTACTTGTGTGTTGTAGATGAGCATTTGAACGGCATTTACAGCAAGTTATCGGCAATAATAGGCGAAATAGAGTAGAGAAACATTAAGACTTTGGTAGTAAATGCATTTCGTGTTTACATTTTTTATATTTATTGAGACGTTCCAAGTTCCTGTGGTGCAGCTCCCAGTCAATGGCCATGGTCTAGCAGGGCTGGGTGTAGGGCGAGAGTTTCACGAATGCCTACAGGATGATTTATACTCTTTCTAAAATTCATTTGCTTTTATTGCGCTTTTATTTTTTATTTTTTTCCAAAATCTGGGGAAGGGGCAGCTGCCATGGCCATGGATTCCATAGCATTGCAATTGTGGTTTCGAATTTTATCATAATTTAAGCTATATGGGGCGCTAGGTGTCTATCTCTAAATTTGATTCTATGATTTGGTTGAGAGAAGTTGTCAAGACGGTTGCTGCATGTAAGATGTTGTGCAACCTCGATGGTGATCTGTCTATTTGATCAACTTTGTCTCTCTCCATCTTTGATATAGTCCCTTGGACTTTGGAGACTAATCATTACGAGGTTATGAGGTGTGACCTGGTCCAAGTACAGGTAAAAAACTCAAATAACAATATAATGTTTGTTTACTTGACTTTTGTTTATTATACATATTTACTATGACAAGGTCCTATGTACTTTTCTCCGTTAAATATTAAAAACGTCTAACTAAACCCTCTATTTTAATTGAAAGACAAAATTTAACCAATAAAATATAAAACTTTATCACACCACACCAAAGCGTCATTAAACCTTTAATGTGCAGCTGTATGACTCACTTTACATGGTCCAGGAGTATGCACAAATTTGTATATCTGCCCCTATACGTACATATGCAAATCGCGTAAAATGTTACAGTTTTACACTGTTGTAGCCAATGTTCGTACATTGAAATTTATATAGATGTGAGGTAAATGTAATTCTGAACATATCTTTGAAATTATAATGGTAGTAGTAGTACTTCTTGTTGTTGTTGTTGTTGTTGATGACAATGTTGTTGTTGTTGTTGTTGTTGTTGCTTCTGTTTCGCTGTTGTTGTTATTGTTGTTAGTTTTCTGTTGTTATTGTTGTTAGTTTCCTGTTGTTATTGTTGTTAGTTTTCTGTTGTTATTGTTGTTGTTGTTGCTGTTGTGGTTTATATGGCAGATCTCTCCTTGGCTAGAGTGGCGGCATCACAGGTTGCTGTGTAGTCGGAGTTGAAGTTAACGTTGCCCGGAGACGCGATGGCGAGAACCTCATCCCTGTCTACCATCGACCCAATTCCATGCACGAATAATGTTACACCTGCAAGCGAGAGACAAATAAATGTTATAAAACGGAATTTTCTAAAGCACAGACACACGCGTACACGCACATTTACGCACGCAGGGCTGTTCTCTGTAATTGTAAAATGCAATGAGGAATCGTATAATCATACTGAAGCTTGTCGATATTTGCGAAATTCCATTCATCAGATTAGTGCAGCATGTGTAGTTGTTATATTTATTATAGCTGGCAGGGAATGAGGGGTCCATTCCCAGGTAAGAAAAATATGCCATTTTTCAGTGTTTGGTAAATTAAAGTCAAAATATCGGCTTTTGCGCGTCCCCGGTGACCTCGATACCCGAAAAATTTATCCGATTTGTTCCGGTTCCCATATAGTCAAAATAGTCCGACCCCGCATCTCGAAAATGACCGCCCTCTCTCGTTATTAGTTGCGAAGGGTTTTCTCACCTGCTTGCTTCAGCGGTTCGGCCGCCGCTATGGATGCAGCGCTGTCGGGGCAGTTCGACTGTCCGTCCGTCAGCAACAGTACGCCCTTGGTTGCAGCGGGGCGAGACTTGCCGCTGCCTACCAGAAGCCAGTGAGCGACATCTAGCGCGAGGTTGGTGCAGGTGGCGCAGCCGTCATACGGGATGGGTCCGCGCGGAGTTTCGCGCGTCGGGCACAGATCGTTGGTCGTCCCTGAGGAGAGTATAAAACCATGTTATCAGAGCAGGAAAACAATGTTGTTGTTGTTGTTGTTGTTGTTGTTAACATTAGTTAGAACATTAACTTTCTCTAATAGACTGTTGCCAGAAACATGGTAAAGGTACGAGTTTCTGATACGCGGTGTATAGATGTCAGGCCTACGCGAAAAAGGTAATGTTAAGACTAATGTTAAGACTAATTTTGTTTCTGACAATTGGCCAGTCGTCTATACCTCGCTCCATCTGCCCTGGTAACTTCTTCGTGTGTTCTCTTTTTAGTCGAAAGGTTATACACTTACATTTGTAGTATCGGAGTTTTTCGATGGCCGTGGTGAGCTGCGTTACATTCCTGTATGTTTCGAAGAAGTCCGGTGAGTCGAGTGTCACGATTCGTCCGTAACTCATGATGGTGACGCGCGCACGGATATTCAAGTCGTTGTCCAGCAGCTGCACCCATTGCTGTGGATGACATCAATTACACACAGAAATCAGCAATGCAACAGAACAGCAATAGTGAAACAGTCCGTGCGTGTGTTCGTATGAGTGTGCGTTCAGGCGTGCGTACTTGCATACCCCTGTACGCGTACGAGCGTGCGTGTGTAGTAGTAGCACCATCTGCAAATGTAGCACTGCACGAAATCGACCAACTATGAATATATACTCGCTATTAAAATAGAGTACTTATAATTAATCATATATGTATATATATATGTATATATATATATATATACATATAATATAACATTATACCTCAATAATATAATAATATATAATAATAAGGCGAAAATAAACACTTATAATAGATAGAATCGCTTACAATGATGGCGCACTTGGCGCTCTCAAATCCGTCTCTGGTGACGCTGAACGACCGGTCGAGTAGGAACAGTATGTCTACGTCCTCGTCGTTCTCTGGATGTGCGTCGATCGTGAACAGATCCGTCGTTGTCTTTATCGTCTGAACGAACTCTTTGATCCTGTCGGCATTCTCAGAGATCGAGAAGAAGTCGCTCTGTGGAACTGTGGATTAAAGTGAGAGATGAGTTGTAGTCATCATTCAGCTGTCGACATTGTTCGTTCGAGCGCTCTCGTTGTTTATTATGTCATTTGTCTCGCCAACGGTTAACGATGTTCGCTACCACTGAGATTTCGATATTTCTCGTCAATGTACGAAATCGATGTACGATATCGATTATCCGTCAATGTACGAAATCGATGTACGAAATTCGCGCCACTACACTGAGTTTTACACATTCATTCCACCTCATTTGATTTCAAATTATTCGTACATATTGTTGTTACTATGTACATAACGACAACAACTGATTAGGAGATAGACACGCTCGCGCGTATATAGACTGTGCATGGCACATCAGATCGTCTCGGTATAATCTTACCGGCCGGTTTTGGCAGAGTCGCCGGCTTGCGAGTTGGTTTCGGCTTGGGCGTTGTCGTTGTTTCTGCGGACACACACACAGACACTCAGATTGTTATCAATACTTCGTTAATATATTCATAACTATAATACATTGCCAAGGCGGACGTAGATGCGCGCCGCCACGTGATTGATTACGTCGTCACGCCGATCATTATGACGTCACGATGCAGTATTCTGATAAATTCTTGGGAAGGATAAAATCTTAACGAGCCGCCACTACCCGTAGGTAACAGACTTATGAGAATGGCTTGTTTGATTAGTAGACTTTACGCATAGACTTTTAGTTTAGACTTTTACGTTAGAATGGTAACGATGCGAGGGGATTGCTGCATATATATATATAGGCCTACTCACTGAATCTGTTGAAGAATCCTTGACCGCTAACATGAAGGACACAGCCCGCTAGTAGCACGAGAACGACGAGGCTGATCTTCATTGTGTGCGACGTGCGTGTATGTGACAAAATCTACAACGAAACAAACGAAAAATTGCAACGAACCCTCACAACACGCGTGATTTATTGCGAGCGTGATGCGTATACGTAGCGTTCCGATGGGGTTTTCTCGTCTGCTGCAACTAAGGCATAACATAACTGCTAACATAACCATAACATAACATAACCATAACATAAACATAAGGCTAGGGGCATAACATAAGGGGCATAACTATAACACGCCCGCGCGACCTGCTGGCCCATTATATAGCTGCATATAGATGCCTGCATGCGCACGATTTTTGAACATTTACGCGCATTTAGACTTATTTTTTGGAGCCTCGTGAATGAACGAGATGTGGGTTGGCGATAAGTTTTTATCGAACTGCACCAATATACGATGTTGCGTATTGGCGAAAAAACAGAAGAAAATAATATGTTCATCAGCCCTTGAAACGCGACGTCACACGTTTTCTCTCTCTCGCTCTCTCGCTCTCTCTCTCTCTCTCTCTCTCTCTCTCTCTCTCTGAGAGATTCCAAGTTTTTCACTGAAACACAGTGCCCTGTGAATTATCGAAGTAGAGAATAGTTTGCAGTGAGGGTCTTGTATTATCCAAGAGTTAGTGTAAGCATTAGATGTAGCATGTAGAGTTTTGCACATGATACATGCTATGCTAATATTGTCTAGAAATTCCAATAAGACAGCTATATCTTTGGCGCGCATTTTTATACGCGCCGCATAAGTACATGATCATTGGGTACGTTGAATAGAGAGGGCATGCTAGTACATATATTACCATAAGTAATATAAATATTATAACATACATACGGTAGAATACTAAAATACTCACCGAATATAGTATGACAAACTAATAAATGAGTATGGAGCAGATATAAGATAAAGAGTATAATATATAGCGAGGCGATATGGACGAATATAGAAACTATAAGATGACTACAATATATTGGAATATAACGGTATAGACTATATAAGAATTTGTAATGGATGATAGTAAAATATAGAAAACAAAAAAAATCACAAGATATGGAATACGATTCTCTATTGGCGTAGCTACCGCTGAAACTAATGAACGAACCCCTCCCGTATATACGTACTGTCGTCGACGAGTCGATCGCGTTGACGTATCTAATACAGCAGCTGGAGTGGGACGGTGTGGTAGTAGGTGCGTGATCGGACGACTGCTAGAGAACGATGCGATGCTTGTGTAGGGCGTTGCGTTGGCGCAACGTGCGCTGGGGCTCGAAGGATAGGACGCGTAAGATCGAAGTAAACGCTTGCAGTGGAGAGGCGAGGAGAGGTGTATGATTATATCATATATGGGTCCAGATCCGGGCTGTACCCGAGGCGAGGTCCGGGAGTGCGCGACTCTGGATAGCTCAGGCCGTCATGCCGACGCGGTACCGGAATTTAGAAGAACCAAACAGAGGAGCGCACCGGAGGTTGTCTCACCGTCGCGGCGCGCGCGGCGCGCCGCTGTGGGCGGGGTGAGTGGGTGTGCGTGTGTGGAGCGTGATTGTGATGTGTTGTGTGTCATGGTTGTGGGTGGTGGTGTGCGTGGGGAGTGTGTGGTGTGGTCGTGGGGGTGGAGTGGTTGTGTGTGGTGTGTGCGTGGGTGTGTGCGTGCGGTGTGCGGTGTGTGTGTGTGTGTTGTGTGTAGTGCGTGTGTGTGTGTGTCGTGTGTGTGTGTGGTGTGTGTGTGTGTGTCGTGTGTGTGTGTGGGGTGGTGCATGTGTGTGAATCGTAGGTGTGGTAGTGGGTATGTGTGTGTGTGTGTGTGTGTGTGGGTGGGGTGTGTTTGGTGGTGCTGTTGTGTGTGTGTGTGTGTGTGTGTGTGTGCTAGTGTGTGTGTGTGTTGTGTGATGTGTGTGTGTGGTGTGTGTATCGTTAGGCGGCTGTACTCCGCGTGGTTGGGCCGGCCGATCCGCCCCGGGGCGGAGGTAATTAGACACAACGGTCTGGTACGGCGCTGCGTAGTTCCGCTGGCCATGCGCAATTTGTTAGCTTTCATTGATGAGTGAGGGTGGAGCAATAATCCAAAATCGTGATGATTGAATAGGAGCGAGTAGTGAGAGCGGCAAAAAGTGGTTAAATTAATCATATAATTAATTACTAGGGCAGTGTTTTCTATTAAGAAAGAGAGCGTGGCGCGTGCGTACGCTCGTGTATGTGGGTGTTTTTGCCGCTAACATAGGGAGATTTGCCTGTTAGGGTGGTGTGTGGCGTGGGAGCGAGGGAGAGCGTTACTTCTTTTTGCTGGGTGAGAGAGGAGCGGGATCTGGGGCTAGGGAGCTGAGATGTGATCGTGTAGGAGCGTGTGGGGCGAATGGATTGCGTCGCAGCTTGTGTGCACTGCGCATGAAAAGCATAATTGTCGGAGAGGTGTGTACAGTGTACGCATTATACGTTTGAGTGATCCCTCTATATTCGTAATAACAAGCCACCCGGCAGATTCATCATAGCAAATTATAACGTGTGCGTAGGCGCGGCGCGCTAGCTGAGTGGTGTGTGTGTGTTGTGTGTAGTGTGTGTGTGTGTGTGCGTCCGTGTGTGGTGTGTGTGTGTGTTGTAGTAGCTGTGTGTGGTGTGTGTGTGTGTCGTGTGTGTGCTGTGTTTGTGGGTGAGTGTGCTGTGTGTAGTGTGCTGTGGTGTGTGTATGTGTGTGTGTGTTGTGCTGTGTGCTGTGGCGCGCGGCGCAAGTGTGGTGTGTAAGGGCCGGTCGTTTGCGCGCGCGTTTGTGTGTCGTGTGTGTATGTCGTGGTGATGTGTGTGATGTGTGGTGTGTGGGCACGCAGTGCGTGCGTGGTGAGTAGAAGTGTGAGTGAGTGAGTGAGTGAAAGTGAGTGATGTGAGTGAGTGAGTCGAGCCGAGATGAGTGAGGAGTGGCGTGAGTGAGTGAGGTGAGTGAGTGAGGTGGAGTGAGTGAGTGAGTGAGTGAGTGAGTGAGTGAGTGAGTGATGAGTGTAAGATGAGCGAGCGAGCGAGCGAGGGCGTGCGTGCGTGGTGTTGAGTGTGAGTGTGGAGTGTGTGTGTGTGTGTGTGTGTGTGTGTAGTTGCGAGTGTGTGGTGTGATGTGTGTGTGTGTGTGTGTGTGTGTGCTGCGTGTGTGTGTGTGTTTGTCGTGTGTGTAGCTGTTGTGTGTGTGTGTGTGTGTATGTGTGTGTGTGTGTGTGTGTGTGTGTGTCGTGGTGTGTGTGTGCGCGTGCGATGTGTGGTGCTGTGATGTGTGCGCGGCGCGTGGTGGTGTGTGCGCTGTGTTGTATGTGGTAAGTGATGATGTGTGGGCACGCGTAGCGTGCGTGTTTTTAGTGAAGATGAGTGGAGTGAAGTCGAGTGAGTTGAGTGAGTGTGGAGTGACGTCGAGTGAGTGAGTGAGTGAGTGAGCGCAGCGAGTGCAGTGAGTGAGTGAGTGAGTGCTGGAGCTGAGTGGGTGCGGTGAGTGGTGAGTGGTGGTGAGTGAGTTGAGTGAGTGCTGAGTGAGGTGGAGTGAGTGAAACGTGAAGTGAGCGAGGCGAGCGAGCGATGCGTGGCGTGCGTGTGTGAGTGTGGAGTGTGGGTACGTGTTAGTGTGTGTGTGTGTGTTGTGTGTGCTGTGTGTGTGAGTGTGAGTGTGTGTGAGTGTGAGTGTGTCGTGAGTGTGAGTTGTGTGAGTGTGGTGTGGTGTGAGTGTGAGTGTGTGTGAGTGTGAGTGTGTGTGATGTAAGTGCGGTGTGTGGAGTGTGAGTGTGGAGTGTGAGTGTTGTGTGAGTGTGAGTGTGAGTGTGAGGTGTGATGTGAGTGTGAAGTGTGAGTGTGATGTGAGGTGTGGAGGGTGGTGGAGGGGTGAGTGTGAGTGGGAGTGGAGGTGTGAGTGTGAAGTGTGCAGTGTGAGTGTGGGAGGTGTGGGAGTGTGAGTGAGGGTCAGGTGTGATGTGAGTGGTGGAGTGTGAGTGGTGATGGTGAGTTGCGATGTGAGTGAGTGTGAGGGTGGTGAGTGTGTGTGTGATGATAGTGTGGTGGTGGTTTGTTGCTTGGCCGACGCGCGAGGAGTGAGTGAGGTGATGGATGAGGTGTGTGTGTGTGTGTGATTTGTGTGTGTGTGTGTGTTTGGTGTGTGGTAGTGTTGTGCTGTGGTGTAGTGTGTGTGGAGAGTGAGTGAACGATGAGTGAGTGAGTGGAGTGAAGTGGGAAGTAGAGTGAGGTGAGTGATGAGTGAGTAGTGAGTGAGTGGAGTGAGTGCAAGTCGAGTGAGTAGAGTTGGAGTGCAGTGTAGTGTATGAGTGCAGAGACGTGATGTGAGGTGGAGGGTGGAGTGAGGGTGAGTGAGTGAGGGGTGAGGGTTGGGGAGTGAGTGGAGGTGCGAGTGAGTGAGTGAGTGAGTTGAGTGACGTGAGTGAGTGAAGGCGAGGCGAAGCGCGAGCGCAACGAGCGACGCGTGCGTGCGTGTGTGAGTGTGTGTAGTGGTGTGTCGTGTGTGTTGTGTGTGTGCTGTGTAGTGAGTGTGAGTGGTGAGTGGTGTGTGGTGACGGTGTGGCAGTGTGAGTGTGGAATGATGAGTCGGGTAGAGTGTGAAAGTGTGTGCTGTGCGTGGTGGCAGTCGTGCGTGTGGCGGTATCTGTGTTGCGTGGTGCCTGCGGCTGCCGTGCGGCGTGGTGTGGGTGTGTTTGCTGTTGCGCGCCGTGCGCGCTGAAGGTAAGTGAGTGAAGTGACGTGGTGTGTGTGTGTGATGTGTGTGTGTGTCTGTGGGGTGTGTGTGTGGTGGTGTGTATGCTGTATGGTGTGTGTGTGCTGTGTGTGTGTATCAGTGTCGTGTGTGTGTGTGCTGTGGTGTGGTGCTCGTCGCTGATGTGGTGTGTGTCTTGTCGTGTTTGTCGTGTTGTGTGGTGTCCCACATGACAAGGCTGTACTGCGGAGTGGCGGCTTGGTGTAAGGTCGATATGCAGACATCTGTGTGCGCGTCTATAGAGCGTTCTTTGTTGTTAATTGCTGAGCAAACACGTTCGAGGTGGACCGATGAAAACGCCGGTAAATTGTG